ATAATGTGCTTTAACTGCAGGCTCCTCTCCGGATCCAATACGATTTCCCCTTTGCTTTTCTCATAAAAACAAATTCCAGCTTGCCCTCCGGAGACCTGCCGCTGAGGTCTGCCGTGGTTACAGTAAAGGTGGTTGGAGTAGGCCCAATGTGTGGCTCGGACAACTCTGTGTCCGTTATCTTTAGGTCGGTGACCATTTATCAAGCGTAAGTGGACGCAACCGGATTGCAAACACATAAGTAAGCGGCATATGTTGGAACAAACCAAATAAATACTCATTCATTCTAATGCATACTGTACGGCGTCGCAAAATACTTGCTCTTCTTTACGAGTCTGTTTTGAAAAAATCTTTCATTTGATTCTATGAAAAGATTGAACAATAGTTGGCGTGACAAGACAACTGCTCCCCAACTTATGAAGCCAGCTCAACAAGATGATCGATCGTGCAATAATAAATACCCATATTTTCTGTTGTCTGAGGCATGATCTCCAGCGGATCTCCATCTACAAAGCGATTCGGAAGTTCGTTCTTGCATCTCCTTGTAAGTTTGGAGAGCTTACTTTCAAATGGTTTCCTCACTTTTCAACATTGCTTACACTGTGAAGATGCACTGCTAGAAAATGTTATTTTTGAATTCTAAACCGGCGATTCCGCCGTGGTTTTGTTTCATGAGAGTAAGTTTGGCAAAAATCCTGGAATGTGACTAAAAAAAACGTTTTCTTGTAAGTAACTCATATGTTTAAACAATAGCACTGTGAAGGGAATTTGCGTAATTTTAGTAAATGCATAGTTTACGGGCAAAAGGTGTCGCCTTATAAGAAATTACTTTTGGAACTGAAGCGTTGCCGTTTGCGATATTTCATTCTAGATAATGTAATGGTTGAACTAAAGTTACTAGAAAGCTGCTGTCGCCCTTCTTTGAGCATAATGTGAATATAGGAATTATTGAAAGTCCTACTAGTAGTAAATAGGTTGACTGTTGGGGATGATACTGAAGGTTCTCTAAATTTTTGAACTTGCTGCTTTATAGCTTTTGGTTGTATAAAAGGAAATCAAAGAAAGGGCGAAGAATTGACTACATATAACATGGTCTTGAAACTTGTACTCATAAGCTTTATATGATTATGCATAAAGTTCCCTCAAGCAGTTTACAAATCCTGATACATCTGATAAAAGTTTATAGTTACAGATGAATCGGATACTTTTCGTTAAGATTTTAATTTACTTGAGGCATTCTCGTTATTGTGTTCTAGGAGCAACGATTCTCCATTTTGCGATCGATTCCGTTTAGGTTAAAATATCAGATTTTGGACTGTCGCGAAATGGGACAGCATACAGAATGAAAACCGCGCAGAAGATGCCAATAAAATGGATGGCGCCGGAAAGTATTACAACTTATACATTTACTCAAAAGACTGACGTCTATACGTTTGGGGTAAGTGTAGAAAGCATCACAAGTACTAAGCTTGTTTGAAGGAGAATGGCAAATTTGAATTAACGACTATCTAGCAAACCCGGCTTCGCTCAATCAAATTTCTGACTTTCAACCCAGACTTTGTATTTTTGTGGGGCTTTCTCGCTGTTATCAATTCTCCGTCTATTGTTAAGATTATCGAAAGCTAAAACTAATCCATCACTTTACCAAGAAAATGATTAATGTACACAACAAGCAGCAAAAGTGCCTAAAAGTTGCGAGCATCTTTCGACCCGTCCTCCCAGACTCAAATCTATGAGCCTGATTTTAACTACCGAATGTAGCGAATGCTCAAAGGCTTTGTTTAAAGACTATTGTATCTTTTACAGAAACAA